AAAAAAAAAAAAAAAAAGAACAGGTGGTGGAAAAGTAGAGATGATGAGTGGAGACTTTATTTACGAGTGTGGCCTTGAAGGGGAGATAGAAAATGGGAGGTAGAAGTAAAGCAATTTAAAGAGAAAAAAAAATAGTAGAAATTTGAAGATGTTTATAGACTACAGGGAAAAAAACCAATAGAGATATAAAGATTTTAGGAATCTGTGTGGCAGTGTATGATTTCCTTTAGGCCACTGACTATGTTGAAAATAGTTTGGAGAACCTTGTAAATCTCAGACCCAGATAGTATTGCCTTGCATGAGAACTCTTCCAGCTTATTTGTTTTTGACTACGCAGAGAGGAAGACAGGGAGAGAGCGAGAAAGGGGAGTGAGAATGGAGGTTGGCAGGAAGGATGAATAGAGAGCAACTACCTTGTGAACTATGAGGGCATTAATCCCTGAGGTTATTAGCCTTTGGATAACTTTAAGGGGTAGTTTGATTAATGACATCCGATCACAAATTTCCAGTACCGATTTCTTTCTCTTTCTCCCCTTGGTTGAGGTTATGGCTAATGCTGTGTTCAACTAGATATTTGGTAATAATAATAATACGTTTGTATTAATGCAGATGATGATCATGGTTTTCAAAAGCAGTAAACTTATTATATTATAAATATTTTTTGCATTTAAGGGAGGAAAAGACTGAAGAGTTATTGGACTGCAAAGAAGAACTTGAGCAAATGGAAATAGAATTAAAAAGGCTGCAACAAGAGGTTTGTACCTGGAACTTTTATTATGTAGGACTGATAAGTAATTGGGAATTGATTTTTCTCCTCATAATTTATAACTTTTACTTTAATGAATTATGAGTTTGCTGATGCTTAAAGGAATTTGATGACTTTTCAGTGTCTCTCTTCACAAATGCTAGAGCCCAGATTAGAAATCAAGGTCTTTGGACTTTTCTTTTTTCTATGTCAGTGTTACTCCAACCTCACTAAGATTCAGAGGAGCCTCTTAGGCCTAGGGTAGTTCCAAGTTTCTCTTTTATATGCATTTGGCTTCAGTGAGTGGGCTTGGAAGCTGGAACACTTGTACTGTAACCTGTGCTGGTTATATGTATCTCCTTAGGTCTCTGCTCTTTGATGGTGCTTCATGTTAACTTATATATGATAGAATGTTTTTTGCTTTTTCACTTTTTTCCTATTAAGATAAGAATTTTTTACTTTAAAAAAATTATTTTTAGTTTACTAAAGCTTTGTGTTTTTTAATCTTGAACCAAGATTGTTTAAGAGTTCACTTCTTTTAAAAACTATAAGGTTTCATTTTCTTTTGGAGATAGTGTTTGAGGTCTTCTTTAACCATACATAAATGGTAGGATTGTGGTAAGCTGGACAATTATTTCTTTTCCTTACCCTAACGTGCCATTTTTAAATTGAGGGAATATTCTACTTGCGGGATCATAAACTGGAACCCTGCCAGATGAATGACACTGGGAATCATGATATTTATTTCTAAATATGCTGTGGTTGTTTTATACTTTGGCAGAATTCTTTATATGTGTGTTCTGTCTAAAACAGTGATTCTCAATCTTTTTGATCTCAAGACTCTTTTCCACTCTTAAAAATTAATAAGGATGTTTAATGTGGATTATATCTACTGGTATTTACTATACTTGAAATTAAAACTTAAAAAAATGAAGTATTAATCCATTCAAAAAGAATATACAACCCATTCTATGCTAAAATTTATGTTAACCAAATAACCGTTATTCCCCCCACCCAAATTAAGAAGACTGGTACTTTTACATTTTTTCAAATTCTTTAATGCCTGACTTAACTGAACACTACCAGATTCTCATATCTATTTTCTGCATTCAGTCTCTTAAGATTTCACATGCTATGTAGTCTCTGGAAAACTCCACTACACTCTTGTGGGAGAATGAGAGCAAAAGGGCAAATAATGTTTTAGTATTATTTTGAAAATAGTTTTCAACTCATGAACTCCCTGAAAGGGTTTCAGGGACCCACAGATGTTCCTGGATCACACTTTGGTAAGTGCTGTTCCAAAGGATTATGAGGACTTATAAAATGTTGAATTTTAATTTGCCTGAAATGACATTAAGATATGCAACTAAGCATTCCCTTGGAAGTATTAAAAAAAACTCAGCAGAATTCTGTTACATTATCTGGATAGAAACATCATTTTTCCAAAGTAAATAATGATGAATTTTAGTAATACAGTTTGCCTCTTCTGTGTTATTACCCTTATTTTAAACTTAACTTTTTCACCTTAAGTTAATTGTAAATGATTATGTTAAGTAGAAGTACACTTATTTTAAAATATTCTGAATACTTTTTATATTCCTGTATATAACATTACATAAGAATTTGTGTTAAGTAGAGGTTCACTTATTTAAAAATTTCCTGAATATTTTTTATATTCCTAATACAGATACTACATAAAAATTGTATGTAAGCATAAGTTTGTATATTTATATGTAAAAAAATATTTTAAAATACTTTTTATTCTTGGTTTTAAAAAAACTTTTATGTCTTCATTTAAAAAAACAACTTGGATATATAATTTACATACCATAAAATTCACCCTTTTAAAGTAAATTCATCAAGTTGTGCAACCAAAGATTATCAATTTTAAAATAGAAAACAATCTTAAGATATTAATATTTATTTATATTTAGAACATGAACTTGCTTTCGGATGCTCGTTCTGCAAGAATGTACCGAGATGAATTAGATGCACTTCGGGAGAAGGCAATCAGAGTTGATAAGCTGGAAAGTGAAGTCAGCAGATATAAAGAAAGGCTACATGATATTGAATTTTATAAGGCAAGAGTTGAGGTATGTTGCATAATTTAAGCCACTCACAATTTTTTTCTTTGAAATTGTTACGATTTTTCAAAGTGCATTTCAAATGCACTTAATAAATGTAAGGAACTCTTGAAATGTTGACAAACTGTAAATACTTTCAGGTGTTTATTTTATGATAGGTGAGCATATCACTTAGACTTTAAAAAAAAGGGTCTGGGGCATAATTAATTTCATTGAATTCTTTGAGGTTCTTCTTTCATTCCTTTATTTTGCATTATAAGTAGGGAAGACTTGAGTCCTCTCATAGTCAAAATAAAGTGTGTATCTCTACTAATTCAAGCATGTTCCTAGAAGTGAAACCAAAACATATTTCTCTTTGCTGCTCAATGCAGAATACTAAAGTAGGGTCAATGAAGGCTCTCTCAACACATGCTCATGCTCCTTCCCTTTCTCTTTCCCTCCCCTCTGAATATTTTTTTTACTTAATGGTTGTGCTTCAGTGTAATGTGAAGTTGAGTTTGACAGCTAGAATTTGACAGTGCTTGCTTCTGCATTCTTTTTTCTTTTTTAGTTTCTTCATTGTAAATGGGAGAATTTGGTTCACTTTCATTATGGGGATAAGGAAGCTGTATGCAAATTCAAGAAGTGAAAATATAAGAGAAAGTAGTTAGAAACTAGTTCATTCCTGGTAACATAGATTCAGAAATCCTTGACAAAATATAAGCATGCTGAATTGAAAAATAAAGGATCATTAATCATGAACAACTGTGGTTTATTCTTGAGATGCAAGGATGGTTCAGTATCATCAGTCAGTGTGATACACCACATTAACATAAAGAAGGATAAAAACCATCAATAGATGCAGAAAATATAGTTGACAAAATTCATTCATTCATTATAAAAACTCTCAGCAAATTGGGTATAGAGGGAATGTACCTCAACATAATAAAGGCCATATATGACATACAGCTAGCATCAAAATAGTGAAAAGCTGAAAAAACCTTTCCTTCAAAGATCAGGAATGAGACAAGGATGCCTACTCTCACCACTTTTTTCATGGTGTTGGAAGTCCTAGCCACAGCAATCAGACAAGAAAATGAAAAAACAAAAGGTATCCAAATTAGTAAGGAAGAGGTTAAATTGTCACTATTTGCAGATGATATGATACTTTATATAGAAACCCAAAAGACTCTACCAAGAAAATATTAGAATTTCTATATACTAATAATGAAATCTGTTGCATTTCTATATACTAATAATGAACTAGCAGAAAGAGAAATGAAGAAAACCCATTTTCAGTTGTATCAAAAAGAATTAAATATCCAGTAATAAATTTAACCAAGGAGATGAAAGTTCTCTGAAAACTGTAAGGCACTGATGATGACAAATAAATGACCAGATAGACCATGCTTATGGATTGGAAGAATGAATATTTTTACTACCATACTACCCAAAGCAATCTACAGATTCAGTACAATCCCTATCAAAGTAACAATAGCATATTTTCACTGAACTGGAACAAATAATCCTACACTTTGTGCAGAACCACAAAAGACCCTGAATGGCCAAAGCATTCTTGAAGAAGAAGAGCAAAGCAGGAGTTATCATGCTCCCTGATTTCTATAGTACAAAGATATAGTATTCAAAATAGTATGGTATAAGCACAAAAACAGACACACAGATTAATGGAACAGAATAGAGAACCCAGAAATAAACCCCTGCTTATATGTTAATTTATATATATTGACAAAGGAGTCAAGAATATACAATAGGAAAAAGAGTCTTTTTAATGAAGGATGTTAGGAATACTGGACAGCTACATGCACAAGACTGAAATTGGACTACTTTCTTACCCCATACATGAAAGTAAACTCAAAATGAATTAAAGCCTAAATGTAAGACCTAAAATCATAAAACTTCTGAAAGAAAACATAGGCAGTAAACTCTTGGACACTTGCCTAAAAAGCCTCTGTACAGCAAAAGAAACTCAACAAAATGAAAAGGTAGTCTATTGAATGGGAGAATGTATTTTCAAATTATATTTCCAATAAGGGGTTAATATCCAAAAGATATAAAGAACTTATACAACTCAATACCCAAAACACAAATAGTCCAATTAATAAGTAGGCAGAGAAACTGAATAGACATTTTTCCAAAGAAGACATGCAGATGGCCAACAACACTAATCATCAGGGAAATGCAGTTCAAAACCACAATGAGATATCACCTCATGCTAGGCAGAGTGGCTAGTGTCAGAAAGATAAGGATTGGTGAGGATGTGGAGAAAAGGGAACTGTCACCATGCACTGTTGGTAGAAATGTAAAATGGTGCAGCCAGTATGGAAAACAGTATAGAGGTTCCTTAAGAAATTAAAAATGCCACACAACCAAGTAATTCCACTTCTGGGTGTTTATCCAAAGAAAACAAAAATACTAATTTGAAAAGATATATGTGCCCCAATGTTTACCCTAGTATTATTTACAGTAACCAAGATATGGAAGCAACCTAAATGTCTGTTTATACATGAATGGATAAAGAAGAAGTGGTATGTATACACACTGGAATATAACTCAGTCTTAAAAAAGAATGAAATCTTGCCTTTGACAACAGCATGGATGGGTCTAGAGTATATACTAAGTGAAATAAGCCGGAGAAAGACAAATGCCATATGATTGCACTTGCATATGGAATCTAACAAAACAAAACAAATAGACTATAAACAAGGAGAGCAAACTGGTGGGGCCATAGATGATGGAGATGGGGGAGAATGGACGAAATAGGTGAAGGAGATACAGAGGTACAAACTTTCCAATTTTAAAATAATGTGTGATGGACATGAAAAGAACAGCATAAGAAATGTAGTCAGTAATACTATAACAACTTTCTCTGGTGACAATAACTACAGTTACTGTGGTGAGCATTTCATAACATATATAATTGTCAAATCATCATCATACACTTGAAATTAATATAGTATTGTAATCAACTAACTTCAATAAAAAAATTTTTTTAAGTAGTTAGGACATTTTAGCCTGACATTTACCAGTAAGTAGATCTAGAGGACTTCAGAAATAGGTGCATATTAATTCTGCAACAGTTATTTAAATGTATGTATGCATGGTACTCCTAAGGAATCTTTAGATACTTTATGATCTATAAATGCCACCATTTTAATATAGTTTCTCTTGACTTTATATACTGCAGACATTATGTGAGTCTTATATTTTACTCAAAAACCCCAAACCATATACTTTTAAGGTATAGTTTAAGTAGAGAGAAGTCTTTAAATCTATTTCAGTAAATAAATAAAGTCCTGGATCTATTGAGATTGTGTCTTACATATTTGAAAGACTACTTATACGGAGTTCCTTATCCTTGTGATTAAGGAATTTAAATATATCCTGATAATTTCATGTGAAATTATAATAGTATCACTCATTCTAATGTAAGTACCGAGATTTTGTTTGCATAATAGTTTAAATTCTGGGGGAAAATATGAAACCAAGAAAACATCAGCTGTATTTATATTACTCAGTGCTTTACTCTTGCACAGAATTGTTAGTGAAGACAGCTTAATGTCTTATTTTACAATAAAGAATTTTTATGTGTCAGAGTTAGAAAATTTAACAGATATTAACCCATTTGTTGTAAATAAAGCCTATTTGAAATGCTTTTAGGAATTAAAAGAAGACAATCAAGTTTTATTAGAAACAAAAACCATGTTGGAAGATCAATTAGAAGGCACTCGAGCTCGTTCTGATAAGTTGCATGAATTAGAAAAAGAGAATTTACAACTAAAAGCTAAACTGCATGATATGGAAATGGTAAGTATTTTAAGGTAACATGGCCTCTAAGAAAAAAACACAAGCTTCTTCTAATTTCGTTGTGATAACAAGGATGGCTAATGCCCTTGAGTCTTTAACAGAGAATTAGCTAAATAATATAAAAGTAAATTACATATAAATTTTATATAAATACAGGAGTGGTAGAATTTTATGCTCTTGTTTCAAAATTATTATTTATTGATTTTATCTTCTGCTTTTCCAAAAACCCTAATTAGCTATTGTGTAAACATGCCTTTAAAAATACAGAAATAAAACTATTTGCTAAAATTTAGCATTGGGTAGGAAATTATTTATTATACTACTAAAATGGTATATTCATATAAAGAAGTTTCAGTGGCCCAGAGATCACTTTTTAAAGCTGTCAGACACCTGTTTAGTGTAATGACCAGTAGTAATGATTGTAACAACTATTACCTTAAAACTGTGAAAAATAAGGAACTCAAAATTTATCCTCTTTTTGTTCAGTTTCTGATAAATAAGAGTAATAATGTTAGCTTGAAATTGTACAGTTTCTTAGCTTCTTTTCTCTGTCTCCTCCCTGCCAATGAAAAAGGAACGTGATATGGATAGAAAAAAGATAGAAGAATTAATGGAAGAAAATATGACTTTGGAAATGGCACAGAAACAGAGTATGGATGAATCATTACATCTTGGCTGGGAGCTGGAACAAATATCCAGAACTAGTGAATTTTCTGAAGGTATTCCCAATATCGTTTTAATTAAAATGATGAATGAATAAATGAAGTCATATTTATGTTTACATTTCTGGATATTTTATTGCAGTTTTATATTCCCTGCCTGGAGGTGTCTCTCTAGATATGATATCTAGAGTAATTTTAATTACCACATTCCTGGATCTGGTCCTTATCTTTACATGTCTTACAACTCAACTTTATAAGTGCAGTGACAGATTTGATCAGTTGTTTAGGCATTATTTCATGTTAATATCACAGAAAGCTGGAATACCAGTTTATTAATTTATTTTGAAAAATATAACATCTACTAGATAGTACAAAAAAGTTATAGTTAGTTGGTCAACCTGTTCTTTGACTAGAGGCAAACCTAAGTAGAAAGTCAAAATGCAGAGAAAAGATTCTTAGGAGAATATGTAGCCAGATTTATAAAAGCAAGTTAAGGATCTTAATGGCTATTTTCATCAATATATGTAATCAGCAATTTAGGATTATGCCTACCAACCAGTCCAGCCCAGTTATACCCTGGAGATGATGAAAGACCCTTAGATAAATTTTTAACTTTTGACTCTTTTTTCATAGGCTCCATATTGACTTGTCCTCTTACTTAAAGCTGAGCATATACGTATATTTATTTGGGTTATAGTTTTGAGAATGCTAGTACTGCTATGTTTATTGAAATTATATCTAAGTCACATTTATTTGAATTAAACTGGTTCCATAATTCCTCAGTTAATCAGTATTAGATTGTTTCACCTGCTTTCCTTCCTTTTGCAGATATTTAATAAAGCCTCTACCAGGTGTAAAATATTATAGCAGGCTGAAGATACAGTGGTGACATAGATATAAGGTCTGAGAAAGCTTATAGTCTGGTGCTAACAGAGTAATTACTTTCACAGATGATTTGTCATATTTATTACCATTAGGCTTTTCCTAATTTTATACTTGAGAACCCAATTCCAAATTCTAGGAATTCCCTTTGTAGTAAGTGATAATATTTAGCCAGTGAACTTGCTGAGATGTGTTTCTTAAAATACCTGTGAAACATTTTTTACTGTATTCTTTATAAAATGTTACAAGGAAAGCAATTCAGACTTCAGTGTTTTCTATACTAAAGTTAAAATTAGTTTTCTCATCTGTTAAATGAGAACAATAACAGTAAATACCTTGCAGGGCTGTTGTGAAGATTGAATTTATTAATACTTTTGAAGCCCCTAAAATAGTGCTTGGTAAATAGTAAGCATTTGAATGTTTATAATTATTATTATCATTATATCATCGTCATCATCCATACTTGGGGTTATAGACCTGCAAATCCATTTTAATGGGTTGTAGTTGGTTTTTTAAGTTATACAAGGGATTTTCTTTGTAGAAAACTTGGCAAAAATATAAAATGCAGAAAAATACAAAGTGAGAAATTAAAGAAACTAATACTTTCTTAAGTCACTTTTACATTTCACAAAATTTGCTTCAAGAATTTTTTTACACATGCATAGATATTTTAGACATTATCAGATCAGTGTGTAAACAATTCAGGTTCTTTTTCGCCTAGGATTATAACATGGGCCGATCCCCAGGTTGTTAAAAATGTGTTGTAAGCATCCTTTTAATTCTTCAGTGTCTGACCTGAAACTTCTTTCAAACACAGTTACTGTATTAAAAGTATTACTAAGGTATATTGTATTAATAGCTTAATCTTGTTAATTGAAATGCTTGACTACAAATCATGAGCTAGACTTTTACTAAAGAAGACTTGGACAACTAATGGAATTTTAAAAGTGAGTGACTCCCTAGTACATCAACTTTTAAAAGATTAATAATATGCAGACTAGAATAAAAGCTAGATAGAAGAACTGAGGCTTTCTTTGCTTAAAATCTAAGGGATATTCTATCATACCTAATTTGGAAAGAATGTATGCTTGTGGGGATGTTATTTTTATGTGTTCATATTTCTTTACTTTTTATGATGGAGAATGTCAATATACATAAAAGTAGACAGACCTAGAAATGCCCTCCTATACTTCTGTTGCCTTTCCTGAAATCTAGGATTTTAAAATAAATTATAGGTGTCATATTTTATTTGTAAACCCTAATATTTTTATATCATCAAAGTAAATATTTTTGATTAATTAACAGATTAAATGAGTCTGCTGTAGGGTTACTTAAAAATAACTATTTTAGCTTACTGAAGAGGATCATTTACAGAACTAGAAACTGCGTTTTCTTAATTTAAAAAATGTAATGCTCAAATCTGTTTAGATTTTTTTTCTTTGGCAAAGTACATATTGCTCTTTACACTTAGGTTTACTAGGGATTCTTCATTTAGAGAAAGACTTTTTCAGGATGACCAGTGTATGCTGTCTTTCCTTTTTCAGAATCAGATTAGGATATTTTAACCCAAACTATCCTTTAATTTTTGAAGGTGTGGGGTTAGGATATGTTTTATACTTCTTACTTGAATCAAACAATGACTCTAGGAGAGAGCACACAGGGCTATAACTATATTTTGCACAAGAAACCTAAGACTCATTGAAGTTAAAGTGGCTGGGACATTGTCAAGTAGTTGATTTCTCATGGAATGAGAGCTGAAACTCTAGTCTCTTCAGTGTAAATTTTGTACTTTTTTTCCCCACTAGAATGCTTGTGGATGCATTAAAAATTCAAGATTTACCTGTCTTTAATATGTTATTTGTTATTGTGTATATCTTGTATCACTGTAGAAAATTTTATAAAGTTCAGGACCAGGTGATATAGTACATGTATACTCAACAATTCAAATAGTAAAGAGTAAACACAGATTTACCAATAATATATTTTTCAATATTTTAGCACCACAAAAATCTTTGGGCCATGAGGTGAATGAATTGACAGCAAGTAGGTTATTGAAATTAGAAATGGAAAACCAGAGTTTGACAAAAACTGTAGAAGAACTTCGGAGTAGTATGGATTCTGCAAAAGGTAACATTTCCAAAATCCTGAAAGTTGAGAAAGAAAATCAAAGATTAAATAAAAAGGTAAATACAAATTAATTTTTAATATGTCAAAAAATATGTAAAAGTATCGATTAATAGTACTGTCGTAGAGTATTTTCCAGTTTTTAATGTACTCTCATTTTTTTAACTTACTATGAAAATTTTCAGACACATAAATGTGAAGTAATGAACTCCTATATTTATTATTCAGCTTCAACAACTATTTCTTACTTCTGTCTACTCTCCCTACAACCACTTGATGATTTTGAAATAAGTCCTAGACTTGGTATAATTTCCCCAATAAATATCTCAGTATATATTGCTAAAAAGTAAGGAATTTTTTCAAAACACAAGAACAGTGACATTACACACTTAAAAAATTAATGGGTTTTGGTCAGTATTTCAGTTTCTCCAAATCTGTTATGACTTTTTTAACATTTTGTTGGAATCTAAATCCAAGTAAGATGACTATGTTCAATCAATTTGTCTCTTAAGTCTTTTTTTAGTGTATAGATTTATTCTTTTTTCCTAGCAAGTTTTCTCTTGAAGAAACCAGGATTTTCGTCTAACTATCCCCCACCTAGGTTTTGCTCCCTTGCATTCTTTTTGTGTCACTTAGCAAGTTTTTTTGTCTCCTATATTTCTTATTTTATCTGTAGGCATAATCAGGTTCAAACTGAGTTTTTAGTAAGAATATTCACAAAGAGTATATTTCAATCAAGAGGCACATTGATTGATTGTCTCTCTTTGTGATGTTAGTTGTCATGGAAGTCATATGCTTGGATCCGTTAATCAAAGTTGCAAAATTTTGATATTGTTCTTAATTTGGTAGCTAGGTTATTTCTATAAAGAAAAACTTTCTCTTAAAAATTATTGGTTTAAACAAAAATCAATCGTTGGTTACTCTGAGGAATAGCTCTATGGAAAAAGCAGGATGAATGTTTGATTCTTTCCCTTTATTTACAAGTTTCCAAGTAAGGAATTGGTTCTCTCATATCCTGAGATAATGAATGAGTTTGTTTGTTTTACTGTCATTATGAACTCATGGATTTAAAATATTTGAAGTGTTTCAGTCCACTGCATTTACGTTTCTTACTGTCATAACTCTTTAAAATGGTTCCTTAATCCTTAGGACATGACCTTAGCACTCCTTGTAAGCTACCTTGCTTTCTGTCATGACAAAATGTTCTAGGCTCCTCTTAAGTATTTCTGGCCTGAGACCTGTAAACAGTCATTTCTCCAAAAAGCCCTTGTTCCTTTGAGTGGGAAATGGTTTAGAGACCACAATTTAGACATTACAAAACCTGAATTTTAATTAGGCTTGGTTGAATCAGAAATATTCCAATTGTGTGATAGATCCAAGTAACTTATTTTTGCATCTTTCTGTATATACACATACACACACATTATATATAAATAGAATCATGTCATAGGAACACACATGATGTTTTTATCAGGAGTACCTGTCATCACATTTTTCCCCCAAATGCGCTTTCACTTTGGTTTCCAGTTCTTGATCACTGGGAACAGTATTGCAATACTCTTACACGTATGTCTTTATGAATTGGTTTTTATTTCTATATGTAGTCAACCATGTCTAGTTTTTCCTTTGATAGATTCTTGGTTTCTAGACTTGATTATGAAAATCTCCCTAACCCTTACAATAGTGGTTTTGAACTATAGATTCATCTGGATCATTTTAAAGACTTGTTCAAACAGATTGCTGAGCCCCCTACCCAGAGTTTCTGATTTGGTAGGTCTGGGGTAAGGGCTAAGAGTTCTTATTAATGGGAAATTCTTAGGTGATGCTCATGAGAACCACTGCCTTAGGTAATGTGAAAAGACTCCTTGATTTTCTTAAAAAATTTTTACTCATTTAAAACATTTTTATATCTTTAATCCATTAACCAATTAATAAGCATTTGACAACCAATATAGTGTTAAAGTGTAGGAGTAGCCATTTAGTATTTGGAAGTTTTATTTTGGTTGTCATTATAGTTGGATCTGGAAATTATAATTTGATTTTGAAATTAGCTTTGCAGTCTAATTTGTAAATTCTTAGTGATTCTAGCACTTTCTGATTAAGTCATTGCATGAAAGATGTCTTGTAAACTGAATGTTTCACTTGAATTTCACTGACGTAAAATGAGTGTAATTGAATATCTGTTATCCATATATTTCAATCTGTAAAGGTAGAACCATTAGTTATTAATAGCTAAAAGCTTCCTGAACATGGAAATTAATGTTGACTTGAGTTCCTGGATAAGATTTGCAGCTTGATGCTTTTGAGATATTATGGGAAGACTTTTTTCCATGTGAGATTATCTTCCATTGATGTTAAGGTTAAAGTAGAAAAATTAAACTTCCTTTACATAAAATGATCAAAATTCTTAGAATTCTTAACTAGTTTAGTAATATATAAATTTGAACTATTCTTATATAACTAAATATTCTTTTATTTTTATTTTTTATCTGGGTTTAATATGTTACAAAATAATAGAAAAATCAGTGGTTTGGTACATTTTGAACTTGAATCTACTATTTCACATTTATTAATCACATACTTTATTACACCTTTAAAATGTGTAATTGAAAATAAAACTAGAGTATAAAAATTTGCTGGAGTTTTGTTTAGCACTTTTTCTCTAGAATTAATTCTCCTTTTTTCTCCCTCTTTCCTTTTTATTTTAAACCAAGTCCCCTGTTTCCTCATTAAACTTATGCTGCTAATTCTCATCTTTCTTTCCTTCATGCTTTTTATAGTCTCTTCCTTCTTATTCACTGAAATTCCTTGACTGTAACTAAAATTTTACTTTACAAATCCACCAAGAGAATCTTTCAATAAGATTTGTATACTCCTCATATAGCACATAATTTTCATATATTCAGTTGGGTTTGTCTTTGTGTTTAGAAGTAGATATTTGCTCTCAAAGATGCAGAAGATAAGAAAGATAGTCATGTCTGCATATTTCATGTAGTTGCTAAAATTAACATGGAAAATTGCTTGAATTTCTCTACTAAATTCATAAAATTTCACTCTCTGAGTATTAAAACTATATTCTTTATTCAATGCTTATCTTTTGTTTTGACATATTTCCACCATTGTGAAATATTTACTAATATATTGTTTTCTGATTTAATTTTCTCCAGGTTGAAATTCTTGAAAATGAGATTATTCAAGAAAAGCAAAGTCTTCAGAATTGTCAGAATTTAAGCAAGGATCTAATGAAGGAGAAAACTCAACTTGAAAAAACAATTGAAACACTTAGAGAAAATTCAGAGAGAGAGGTTCATAAATTTCCTTTTAGCAATATATTTAACATTTATTGAAGTTATTTTTAAATTTATGCAAACAAAATGTCATAGAACATTAAAGGGAAATATTTTAGAATTTTTTAGATTTTCAAATAACTATGGTTTTACATAATTTTCTCTCATATTTTAGGAAAGTTGAAGGGAAAGCTTAAAATTTTTTAAATTGCCATTATGCTTAATAATCTTCTGGTATAAAATTTTGCCATACCTGTGCTTTAAAGTATCTGTGGAAGAGGGCTACAGATTCTGAAGTCCCTGAGTAGAGGTGGAGGGAAACATCCCTGTACTCTACCCTCACTGAAGAGGGAGAAGTGGTGGCAGCAACCATTCTGGGTACTTTCACATTTGCTTTCAAGTATTGATTGGTCATTCTCATTTTATGCTTGAGGAAACTAGAGAGATTGAATGACTTCCTATTGTAAAATTTCTATTCATTTTTTAGAAGTAAAATGATTTGTTTTATATTATATAGGTATATCCTCAGGCCACCTATAAAAATACAGATTTCCATAGAGCTACAGAACAAAAATTCTATAGCCAACCATGAATCTGTACTTCTGTAAGTTCTTAAGGGATTGTTTAACACACTGAATTTTGAGAACCATTACATTAGGCCATGATATAAATTGGATAGATTAGTTCAGATGTTCCAGGGGATTTTGTTATTTTGATGTTCACAAATTAGAATTCTTTTGAGGAATGAATACACACATACATATATACACACCCATATATATATATATATATATATATATATA